TATCAGTCATTTTGCAACACGTAATAATCATATTAAACGATTTACAAGGAAGTAAAGCAAAATAAGTCAAACCGAAGCGAATATGACATCAGACCTACTAGAGTAAGTATAAGATTTCCTACACCCACAGCGACATGCTTCGAAGGCCAGTCTATTTTTCGAACTCTTCGCCCCAAAAAAGGATTCTTATGAATAGTAAATTTTCCTAAAACAAGAGAATGTAATTTTGAATACTTTTTGACAAAGATAAGGGAAGAATTACTTTAGACAAAGACATTTCAATTATTTATTAATCGACCTTGGCCGTCTACAATCTTATAATTTGTTTTTAATTTTTTGCACCCTTAGCTTAACTGACGTCTGTGTCAAAACGACCGAATGAATTATGTAATTGTAAGATACCTTTAAATCTTCTACGGCCTACAGTTAATTATATAGACTTCGAAAGCATGTACAGCATGTGCATAACGATGTAACATGCCTTCCCACCAATAAGTCTTTTGGAGTTATTGTAAGCAAAGTTCTATTCCGGAATAACTTAATGCGTGCAAATTGACAATCAGGATCGTATGCTTTAATACCGATCCATATGCTTATTTGGATAGAACCTAAGTACAAACCACGTAAACGTTAATCAATCACAAAAAATTATGATCCGGAAAACAAGAGCGCGATGCAAACATTTCCCAACCATTTAGCCAACATATTAGGCGTAGTTTTTATAAAATATAATAAAAAAAAAACAAAGAAGGCTTACAAACTACGCTTATATATATAGCGAATAATCTCCGTGTCCCTAGTTTCTAACAAAAGACAAATGAGAATAATTGCTTAAGAACAAGTAAGAAAATGATAGCCGGTGGTGACCGAATCTTTCATACCCATTACCGTGGAAAGGAAATGAATTTTCATACTCTACAATATTGGGTGGGCGCGGTTGATTTCTATTTCTATTTTCAGAATGAAAAGGGGAAACTTATATTCCGCATATGTTGTACTTTATAAGTAACAAGCAAAAAGTACGCAAGGTACACAAGGTGTTCACAGTTTCTGTTGCACAACCATGTGGGCGTTGTAGGCGAACTATTTGAACTCTCTTTGAAATTTGTAGGCGATATCATCATATTTGCGAACTGAAATATCTTTCCAACAGATATTACACAGTTGGACAGACGAACAGACGGATACGCCAAGGTACATTCCGACTTGGAAACTGGCCAAGGATTTGTAGACTTTATGGGGTTTTTGCGCGCTATGAAACTATTAAAAAGAAATTAAGTTTTGATGCACTCTAATGCGTGATCAATTTTTCCCATTTTCATACAGGCACTATAGCGTCGCCCATAAAATATATATATATATTTTATCTGCCGTAGCTTATGAGTAATGAGCAAAAAGCCAATATTTTATGCCCTTTGAAAAGGGGAGTAGGAAAAGTGATTTTCTCAGGTCACGAGGCATTGCTAGACTTGTTCTTCGACCGATTTGAATCATTCGCGTGTGAGCTAGAACTTTTAATGTTCCTGCCAGGAGAGTGTTTGGAACAGATATTACGTAGACGCACAGGTGGAGTTGCTTTTAATCGATTCAAAATCTAATTCTGATCAAGAATATTTTAAATGCTAGGGAATGCTAGGGAAAATGATAGGGAATTAGGAAACACCGGTGTACATAACGATTATATTCGATGACTTTGAACTTTCTCTACATAAAATCGCAATTTTTCCATTTCCATTTTTTAATATTATTGATTTATTCAGCGTACGCCGGCGCTAATCATAGAGCGCTCAAAATTTCATTTTCGACCTTCATTACTTCTCTTGTTTAAGTTGAAGAAACTTACTGCCGAAGCTCATCAAACACCTTTAAAAGCTTATGGTGATACTCCCTTGTCGTATCTCAATTGTCGGTTTTGCTATCAATGACAAGATATGACCTGTAGGACTAAAAAAGTTCAAGGACCATGAATTGCAAGGCTTAGAAGATTTGATGACTGAAATCAGCTTAAATTCTTGAAGAATTTTCGAGCAGCTTAACAGCTGAATGAATCAACTGTTTCTAGACTTTTACATGCGATAAAGGAGAGGTCCAAAACGAGGTAAAACGGTTACCTTGCAAACTGCAAATTGACTGAAAATGCCATTTCGAATCGTTTCAACATGGCGATTCCATTGCTTTCCAGTTTCCAAAAAATGAAAAGTTTATGATGGCATATGGTGACTAACGATGAAAAGTGAACGATAATCGCAAGCACAAAAATTCATGGATTTGTCCTTGAAAGCCATCTACACCATCGACACCGAAGCCGGCATGAAGGAATATTCATGGCCATAACGTTTTGCTGTGTATACGGTGGCGTCAGCAAGGTGGAGTGTGTTATGCGCTCCTAAAAACGATTAGAATTGTTTGTGCAGACGTCTATTGACGTCAGTTGAACAAATTGAACGATTGATTGTTGCAAAAAGGACCAGCGACTACGGCCAAATTGGCTTCAATACGCATTGACTGACAATGCCATTTTCGCTATTTGTTGCAATTGTTGTCACGAATATACTGTTGCAGCTCGGACGAGATTTTCTGCCACACCCAACGTACTCACCAGACATGGATGCACAATTACTTCGCAAAGTTGAAAACGTGTGAAAATCGGTTGTGAGATATTGCGTCGTCGCTGTCAAACCAATATCGTTCTTTCGACACGGTACCAACAGGTTGCCAGAAAGCTGAGAAAGAGTTGTAGAAAATGATGGAAAATATTTTGCTCAATATACACTGTGACCATTTTTCATAATAAATGTCTTTTTCAAGTGGAAAAAACAAACACTCAATATTTCTGCAAGCAGTTAATATATATATAGTTTGTCGGATATGTGAAGCATGCTTCTGGCAATTGCAAACCTTTTAGCAAAATGAATATACCCAGCCAGTCCTTCGAAAGCTTCACATTCTCTTTCCGCTTACTCTTTTTTTTTCAATAATTTACTCATGAAAAAAGGTAGCCTCTCTTATTTGGGAGAATAATGACAACCAAGTGAAAGTAATGCTTATGCTTTTATTTATTTTCCTGCTAAGGATGACTTTGCGTAAATAAATATATCATCGTTTGATTAAGGAAATAAAAAAAAATAAATAAATAAATAAATAAATAAATAAACACTATATATACATGTGTAAAGTATGATTCAATCCTGACGATGAGTAATCGTAAGTAAGTATAAGCATATAAAAGGAATCAGGCTGGAATTTTAAATTAATTTCGCAAATTTCTCCGCGAAACAATTGCAAAGACTACTTAAAAAATCTCAATATATATTTTCAAGAATAATAAAGTAGCGAATCTCTTAATCGACTTTTAGGTAAGTATAAATGAATTTTTTTTTCATAAACTTTTTTTTATGAAATTGTTTTTATAAAATGAATTTAAAAAAAATTTTTTTTTTTTTTTTTTTAATATTAAATCGATATCAATGCATAGTCAAACATAATTTCTATATATGAAATAATCGACAAAAAACGCTATAACGCATTTATTTCGTATTTGTTTATATTTTTAAAATCCGACCGATTAATATCACTCTATTTCCTTTATTTTCTTCTTCTTCTTTATTATTAATAACTCTTGAGTACAATTATAAATATTGTAAAGAAATTAGCAAAAATAATTCATTGATTGAATATCGGAATTATTAATTTGATAAAACTACGTGTTAACGTAATGTCTAATATGACCAATAAATTATAAATACAATTACATATATACTAGGTATGGGGAAAAAGATATCGGTAGATGGCTGTGTAATGATCGACAAGTCGTAAATTATTGATTAAACAATAAACTGGTCAACAGAAGAGGTGTTGTTTTCCATCGCAACAACGCCAGGTCACATGCATATAGTAACTCGCCAGGAACTCGTGGTCATTGGTTGGGAAGTTTTCATATATTTTCATCATGTAGTCCGGACCTGGCACCAAACGGTTACCATATTTTTGATAAGAAATTGGCATCGAGAGAAAATTTTAAAAGACGCATACTAGACTTTTTCACCAATAAAGACTAAGACGAGAGACATTATGGAGTTATCTTTAAAATTGCAACAAACTGTAGAACAAAAAGGTTCATATTGGTCCAACATTGATAATGCGAAACATGTTAAATATAGTTTGTAAGTTCACGCAAGAACAATGGATTTATTTTTGCCCAACCTAATATAATAATTCCGTCATTCAAACAAATTTGTATATATATATATATGTCTGAATGACGGAATAAAGACACATGTATAAATGTATTTATATAAATTCACGGTAACAACAATGTAGAGAGATGTATACAAACATTCATACATACGTGTGTTTGTGTGTGTGTGTGTGTGTATGTGTAATTGTGTATGTGTGCTAAATGTTTATATATGCGCAATGGGGAAAAGTGGGAAAGATTATATTTGACTTCAGATGAACAATTTTCTGTCATCTACGTCATTTTGTTAAAAACTTAATAAATATTCTTTACTATAACGAGATTTCCAAAGATGAATGAATGTTCAGAGAAAAAATGTTATCTACCTATGGAAATAATATTAATGAATATCTTAATAATATTGATATTTATTAAGTGAACTGCCGCATATCAGTCGCATTAACGTTTTGATCGCACTTTTATTCCTCCAAACTAACTAAAATTTATTTCTTTACTAACTTACGCTTACATACATCGCAGGATATATTTGTGCATTTTTCAAATTAAAGTTTGAAAGTTACCTGCGCGAATAATTTAATATTAATATCGTTTCCATCATCAACTTTAAAAAACAAAAAAGTGTATTCGTGACTTCAAAGGATAAAAGGAAAAATATACTAAATCGATTTATGTTCTTATTGCGTGTATTTTATACTTTTTAATTAATTCAAACATACATAATATAATGCATAAATTTACAATGTCAATAACACAATATATATGTATATAAACTTTAATAGTCAATATGACTGACTATTCTCACCAGGTACTTGTAGTCTTTTTTCCGTTTTTTTTTTTAAAAAACACTTTCACTTTTCATCAAGTTTGAGTAAATTTCATCTGTAATTATATTTACTTTTTTAAAAATAGATAATATATAAAAACAATGCTATTTATTTTATTAGAAATTTTTTTTTAATATTTCCGAACAAATCACTTAGACCGTCAACTAGACATTGAAGACAATCTGATAGCGTTAGAGAGCTTTTCACTAAAATAGAAAACACGCAGAGAGCGCAATAAGACCAATGTAATGAATGATGTAACTAAAATTAAGAGAATAAATATTAAAATGTTTAGAATGGAGAGAGCAAAACAAGAGTCAAAAAACGAGAACATTTGTTACCAACACAAAACTACTACTATAATAATAAGCAAGAAACTTATCTTCGGTCGGCACCGAATCTTTCATACCCATCACCGTGTTCCCAAACGAAAGGAAAAGATCTAAATTTTCACGCCCTATAATAATTAATGGGCGCGGTTGATTTTTTTTTTTTTTTTTTACTTGCAGAATAAAAGTAGAAACTTATATGGTTTGGGTGTTGCACTTTATGAGTAACCGAAAGTAAAAAGAGCTCACAGTTTTTTTTATGTAGGCAAGTGGGTGAGATCTTTCGAAAGTTTGTTGGCGATATCTTCATTTTAGCAAACGGGAGAATATTTACCTCAGATACTACACAGTGGCGAAGGAGGATGGTGGCGCTTCTGTACATTAGTACACTATAAAGTTAAATGGTCCTGGCTGATTTTTTCCATCTCTACATAAGTACTATAACATTGCCCGTAAAGAATACGTTCAAAATTTTTATCAATTTACCTGTTATAGTTTACGGGGACTAAGCAAAAAATCAATTTTTTATTCCTTTAATTCGTAGAAACAGAGCTGTTCTCAGTGTGTTTGATGCTGTGAGCGTATCTCCTTCGACCGATTTTTCCCCTTTATTGATAGGAACTATACTAAGCGATGTCCATGAGCGCCTAGTGAGTACCATTTTGGCACTTCTTTTTTTAAATATTCAGAAATTCTCCATTAAGTGCCTATATATGTATATATATATATATACGTGCTCGTAAGATTTACGACTCGATTTAGCTCCGTTCGCTAACGTGTCTCCAAATTTGTATATTACGTAGAACGGATGTAAAGAATTAGTAAACTTGAACTTGCGTTAATTTTGACTAAAATAACGAATGATTCATCAATTCTTGCTAAGAAGGATGACCCTATTAAAATTACTTTCATTTAATATCATTTACTTCAAAAGTAGTTCAAATGAAAAACTAAGTACTGAACGGACGCAAAATGGGAAAAAGTTGTCAAACCAATTATACAAAAAATGTTAAAAACAAGATTTTGGCGACTTAGAGACATAATCGATTTATTGACTGATCGACAATGAACATTTGAAATGGCGGCAGGATATATTCTTCTTAGATTCTATATATTAAAATCTGTTGTCGATGGGAAGCTGTGAACATTGATTTACTGTCGATAAATTACGATAATTCTTGGACTACGTTAACAAGCATCAAACGGTAAATAAATGGCTATGGGAAAAAACATTCATAGCTATGTCAAGTCAGTATCTTAAGCTTACTTAAACTGCACGTGCACTTTATTTATGATATCTGATGCTACTTTTTGATTCTTATGAAATGATGCAGAAATTTACAATCGGTGTGATGCACATGTGCTACAAGCATTTACCCTTTCGCAAACGCTTTTAAGGCGCCAGTTACATTAGCGAATGGACAAATAAAACGAAATGTCTTTGTGAAACGCACATATTTGACATAATTAATAGATATAAAGGCTGCCGCCTAATCCCATTAATATATTAGTTGAAAAGAATGTTTAATTTCTATTCCAATTGATCTCACATATAATAATCGCGAAAAAATCTTCAAGTTGTAGCGGACATTTCCTCCACAACTAGGACACGCCTAACAACGAACGGTTTAAGAGTTATTTTTCTACTCTGTCTTTATAACAAACAGTACAGCATATATATAATGGTTTGTTTGTCCTTTGTTTGCATTTCAATGACATATAAGACATAAAATGTTTGTGGATAATATCATGAATTAAAATATCACTTTCACAGGCGCCAAGAGACTCATTCGCCCTGCCCTGCTCGGCCGAATGGTAAAATGAAAGACATTCATTCATACTTCCTTAGCATAAGGAGAGCAAAAAAAAAAAAAAAAAAAAAAAAAAAAAAATGAATAAAAATTTTACATTTAAAATATTGAAAATTGGCCTTAACCTTGGTCTTGCCATTGCTGTACATTTTAGTATTATTTGCCTTCGTCTGCAAAGTAAAAGAAATATGTCCTCCATTTGGCGTCTAATGACGTTAATAGCGTACACATTTATATAAATATGAAATTTGCTTTAGTTACATAGAGATGATGAAGAAGTGATAAAAACAATTTATTTAAGTCTTTGCATACCATGCAATACACACACAATCAATTAATCAATCAATTTTATACAAGTCGACACTAATCTACTATTCATTCGTTTTATGTAAGCCTTTCTTTGACTCAACAGAATATTTGTTATAATTTCATAATAATTTAATGTTAATTGCCCGTATTTTCAGCATTCCGTGCCATTCTTTGGCGACTTAAACTATGGGCATACGCACTTGGTCTATGCTTTTTCCGTTTGCGGTATGGTTCTCTTAAAGTACAAGTCGCCAAAACATTATCTAGAGCTGTCAAAAGTGGTGCCTGATTTATAGTGTATTCAGCTATATTTAGACGTCGCCGATTCTTCTCAATACTTCCGAAAAGATAGGAATAAATCACCTGCTCAACAGGAATGTAAAACTTCAAGACATTAGCTCTATGCTGTCTGCAAGTGAATAAAAGAAAAAATATATTAAATTGGATTTTTTTGTTTTACAAACAAACATCAGCATGACTTAAACATCCTCTATACGCTATAGGATTCTGCTTAATAGAATTTTTTAGTTATTTTCGATGCAAAAAATTATACCTTACCACCATAGAAAAGGCGTAAGAAAGCCTACACAAAAAAAAAAACAAAAAAAAAAGCAAAAGTAAATTAAGTCTGATAGCAGATAAACGTGCTCCACATTTCGTGCAATAAGTTCATATATCGCCATTATATTCTGGAATAATTCTTATCATAATTTATTAAAAATGACTTCTGCTTGCTATATAAAAATTTCATTTTTTGCAAGAATATTCAGTTGGAAGGGAGCCTCGTTTAGATGCCAAAATACACTTTTTTTCTTTTCTTAAATAAGCCCATATAAGGAGAGTGCTTGTAAAAATGTTTTAATCCAAACCATTTTCAATAGTGTTCGCCATTAGGGCGACATATGTTATTATAGCGTATTTCGTCAAAATATATCGAAAATTACGATCTCTAGGTTGAGCTGAACAATCCATAGATACATATCAAGCAGAGACAGACGGACAGACATCAAATAGACAAGACAAGGTGGAATGCTTAGGTGAATTCAGAGAATGATTTTGAATCGCTTTGTAAAAACGAAAGACAAGTTTATCCGAAGCCGTTCAGAGTGTTACATACACCTACACAAATTTAATAGACTATTATCACTAGTGAAGCATAGGACTTGTTTATTATTTACGCCTCTTTAGATACGTATCACTCCAGTTATCATATCTGACCGATGAGTTTAAGCTGCAACAACTAATCGCGATACCAAGTTATAAACCATCAACTCAAGTGACAGTTTAGAGAATGCCAAGAACAAATAAGTTAGCAACCGTGCCTGTTGTCACTATTCACAATTCAACCTCGCTCGGAAAAGATCTACACATTTCGTTTATCAAGCCCTTGATGCATTGTTCTTGTTGTTACAAACCGAAAGACAAAACTAACGTACCTCTACCTTTAGCAAGCAAATTATAATTGATTGGAAGAAGCCATAGACATAATAATGAATATATATAAAAATTTCATAGCTTCTATTAACGGCATTAACATAGGCGAGGATATCTTTCAAGACTACTTGTATCCAAAATTCATTTATCATCAATATATCATTTTTTTTTTTGTTTTTTATATTTACATCATAATCAGTAACGTAGACAACAACTTGAGCTGTAACATGTTGTTTAATATTTTTGCAACAATTATCGGTAAGAGAGGAAAAAGAGGAAGAGAAAGAATATTATAATCGAGCCAAGCCAAGAATTACGTACCCTAAACTATCTTACCTAGTAAAACTTTGCATTCATTTTCGTAATGAGAAAATGATCAACACCGACATCTTGTGTTGCTTGTTGTGAATTTAGCGAAATAAATCGTTGTATCGCTTAGTCCAAAACATGGTGTCAGTTAATTTCTATGTCAAATTACTATCATGATTCAATTCGCGTTACAAAATATTAACATATAGACTTTTTTTATCATGTACAAATAGATTTGCTTTATATCGGAACTTTCGTATATAACGGAATGCAAATAAATTGGTCTATACGGTCCAAATTTAATTATTTCATTATAGTGAATTTTTATATCAACTTATTATTAAGGACCAACTAAGTTACGCTTAGCTTATGTAGGAACGATTATATGGAATGAGGTTCAAATAGTTAGTCCATTCTATTCAAATTATTCACATCAAATTAAGCTATGTTAAAATGTTATTTGTGGACTGATCTTAAAATTGGCCCGATCAAATCCATTTTCAGTAGCGTTCCTTCCTGAGCCAAGACACGTAAGTTTAATGAATTCCGTCAAAATGTCACTAAAAATTCCAAACTATATGTTCAACGTAAAAATAAACGGAAAGACATCAGACGGAAGGAGTACGGAAGGTGAATAGATCTATCTTGATCTATCATTCTGACTGCTATATACATACATCACTATAAACATAATGCACGCTATACAGCAACTAGTGTAGGGTATAGAAAAATTGAAAAAATCATTGGCTCATATTAAGTAGTTTGCATTCACTTACAACAGTTCAGAATCTTCGTGTAAGAAATAAGCGAATTTAATTACGTTTTCAACATCTCTGTCAAGGCTGAAAAGAGAGAATATGGAATAAATTAGGTATAGATTAGGGGGCATTTAACTGCATTGACTTACTTTTCATATGTTTCTTCTTCTGTTTTACCATCACTTAGAATTTTAAGTTCGAAAAAGAAACCGCGCGTGTATTTTTGTCTTAAATACTGTGGACTGCCTATAGCTAATAGCTCTCCATCGTCTATTACGATAATCAAATCTGCCAAAGTTTCGCATTCCAAATTTTCATTCGATGAAAATATAACTGTTTTGCCGCAAAAACGTGCATATCTAAGCACGTTCCAAATGATACGGCGATCCTTTGCTGGCATGCCTTTTGTGGGTTCGTCTAGAACCAAAACCTTATTATAAGCTATAAGAGATATAGCTACACTAACTTTCCGTCTAACAGCTAACGATAAATCACCAATTTTCGTATTCATATAAGGCTTTAAGTCCAATGATGTGGCAATCTCTAAAAGCTTTTCTGATACATTCGCTTCGGGCACACCTCTTATCATAAATAGAAACGTAAACAGTTGACGAGGTGAGAAAACCATGCCCAAATCACTCTTTTGAGGACAAAAACCCATCATTTTTATTGCCGCCTTATTTTCGAATTTAAAATCAACTTTTTCAATATACATTTCACCAAAACGAAATCCTCTCGCGCCCACCAATTGTTCGATTAAATGCGTTTTACCCGCTTTATGATATCCATAAATTCCCATCGACATATATCTTGTCAGAAAAAAAAAAAAAAAAAAAAAACACGACATGTTAACAGATGTTAATCCAAATTAGTAACATTTTTAAGTAACTTACTTGTCAAGGGCAAATGACACTGTATTCAAGCGTTTTCCATGATTAGGTATTTTCTTTTCAATTTGATCGGCTAAAACACTATATCTATTGCACTCGAATCTGGACATTTTAGCGATACGCGTTCTCTCCTTGACTACATCATCATCATCGAAAGGATAGGACACGGTACCCAAGCCCGCATGCCTATATAATTTAAATTCAAAAATACTAATTATAGGCAATCGGAACTTTCAACCAATATTCGACAGAGATCATCACTTATTGAGACTATTCTCGCAGAAGCAACGTAGCATAATCGCACCATGTAAGACTGCGGTCAAAGGGTGATAAGACTTTAACTTTCACTGGACTCGCGCGAGTAAGCCTAAACGAGTAGTTTTTTTTTTTCAAAGTTTACTCGTCTCATATCTTAATATCATTCATGGCTTCATGGCAGTATTTTAACAAGACGCGATTCTTTACCTTCATCATCAAAGAATTGCAATTTTTCGCTTCGATTTTATCACCTCAAGGGAGTGAAAATAGTGTAAGCAATATTTCGATTACAAATATTTTACATCATTTTGTCTTTTATACGCTTTCATATGGTCACAATTAGTAATTCCATCTGATTAAAAATTACTTTCCAAAGCAAAAGTTTCGAGTCAATTGAAGAGACAAACGAAAACTTTATGCAGAACTTGAAGTGCTTATCGCAATCTAAAGTTAAGAGGGTTTGCATTGAATGCAATTTATTCTAAAGCGCATAAAATTCATGTTAAGGAATAAGTAAACAAATATTAATGAAATTAAGGGCATCGTTGTCGTTTCCACTACAAAGCCGAGGTACTCTTTCCTGGTATTGATCTTTGGATCCCTATATTCTCGATTTTCTTAAATTTTTGAGTGGATTTGTTATCTGCGCAACTACCACGTATGACATTCAGCCTTCTCATCATTCACAATGATTTCATTCATTCTCTTGAATTTTGATCTTTAGTCTCTTCCTTGTAAATGGTTTTTAAATGAAAACTAATCTCAATTTTTATTATTTTTTTAAGACTTCTGTCAGTGCTACGAACGGTTGCCTTTAGAAGCAAACTGTGCGTATTTTTTCATAGCTTTGTGCCCGTCTACAATGCTTAAAACAAACATGCTCAATACATTTTACTCTTTATCGTCACTATCGACAATTTGGCGATATGGTGCTTTTGTTTTCTCAAAATGTTTGCGACATTTCAAAGAAAGCTTCGGAGAGACGATACAAAGTCATATATATGTTCTTGCTAAGCGTCAAATTCTAGTTAGATCTAGCAATGTCTGGTCGTTCGCGTGTGTGTGTGTGTGTGTGTGTGTGTGTTTGTGTGTGTGCCTGTAGTAAATCTTCTTCCGTTCCGCCCAAAATTAAGACACCGTCCATGTCTTCAAATTTGGGGAAAACATCGTAAGCTATTGCTGGCAAATTATTATTGAAAATGGGCCAATTCGGTCAAAAGACGCATCTACAGTACAACACAATCTTAGAAGACTTGTATTTTCAAAAAAAAACAAATTTGAGATTTTTTCTCAGTATACATAAACTATAATACAACAATGACAAAAATTTTTATACACATGGAATAGGTCAGTGAACCTACAGCAGCATCTATGCAAAAAAAAAAAAAAAAAACCACATTCACAATATTAATGGTGTGAATAATTCCTTTTCCTTCTTCTTCTTTTTTTCTTTTTTGTTCCATCTTTGTGTTTTATATAAAAATGGTGAGTAAAAAAAAGTTCGGCTAGGTCCATATATATAAATATCTCACTTTATCCTGTTCATCCTCCTGTACCTTATGGCGGTGAGTCTTTCAACAACTTTCAAGAATAAAATACATTCACGAAGGAATTGGAAAAAACCGTTTGAAGCGATTTAATAAGAAAGTTTACATCGTCTTTAAAATGTATTCCTAAACGTTACGAGCTGACCTGACATAGGTAATGTGTAAAATGAAAATAAAACGATAAACGTAAAATTAAAAAATAAATCGAAAAAGTCAACGATAACTTAAATGGTAATAACAAAAGATACTTACCTCTTGCTCTTCGACAAACTGTATTTGTGTGCTCTATAGTATACGTTGAATATGCAAAATAAGAAACTGAATATGGCAGTCGTTATTAGCATATAAACGATGTTTATTCCTATACCAGGGAATTCGAATTCAAAATATGGTAAATCTATCGCATCAAATAAAAGAAAAATAATTTAAAACGTTATTTGGCCGGCAAGATCGATCATCAAACACCCTGCACCCTACTTCACCTAATACAATTCTTCACTTCCTCTTCTTCTTCAATTCTTCTTCTTTATTTTCGTCATAAAATATATAACTTAACTTGAGGCCACAAAGGTTTACTATACTATTAATGGGAATCGTTCTGTGGAAGAAACTATGAAAAATATGATTCAACGAAGCGGCGTGTTATATATATAATCTTGTGAATCGATTTCTCTTACAAAATACTCCAAATTAGAACATGTTACCATAAATGAACTTTTCTTTTCTTTTTTTTTTATAAGAACATGTATATAGAAGAAGCCTAAAAAAAATGGTTCCATCTTATTTATGATACTATTTTCCATTCATTTTTACCAAGAACGGATATAATGACTATTTCGAAATAGGACGTTATATGAAAAATGGCCCTAAAAGTGATCCAATTTAATTCATTTTCAATAGAATATAACTAAGTATAGCAAAGTTAATCAACGGATCTTGAAAATTGCTATCTGTAGCGTAAACACAACCGTATATGGACAGACAACACATCGACAGATATGATAGGGACAGGCGGATAGAAGACAGACGGGCTTCAATGCTCGATTGGTACAATGAGAGATGAATCCATCCTAAGCACTGTCTTTATGTTGCCTGCAACCGTAAACATTACAAGTTACATGGATCAATAATAGCATTGGTACCCAAATAACCCATTGATTTGGTTGAAAACCATCCGATTTTTTGGAAAAAAAAAATTTCTTAAAACGTTTACGATGTCTTTTCTACAAATGTCATAAAGTAGAAATGCATTATGCAGCTGGCGATTGACGAAGAATTTAACAAAAATGCCCGGTACACGCAACCGGTAAGAAAATTGACAAAAGCAAAATTTTTTAAATGAAGTCTGGTAACTAGTTTTTAAAGGGTTTATAAAAAAAAAAAAAGGCTTACTGAAAACACAAACAATTAAGAAATTAATGAAGCCGATGATAGCTCAGTTAAGCGAAGCGTTCTCGAACGGAAAAACTCTAATTTTTGTAAGTAATCTTCTCAATCTCGTGATTTGGACCTAATATTAGAAAAATATTAGGGTAAAAAAATCTTAAGTTGAGAAAAGCATTTTACGCAACATTGTGTTGGCAAAAAGTGTCACGTTTTAGAAGCTTGAGGCAGGAAGTGCAGGAAAAACATTTAAAAGGATATAAGTGGGGCTACATAAAATATGACATAGGGTGATAGGCGTTTAATTATCTATTATATAAAATTTTAGACGTCCCTACACAAGCAAAAACAACAAGATTAAATAAAATTTAATGCAAGTGAAGAGATGAACAAAGAGACGGACATCAAGTTGATATATGTTTTATATAAGATCTTAGACGAATATTTAGACTCATTGTAAATAGAATTGTAAAACTATTAGACTTGCATTTGCGTACGCTTTACATTCGCGTATTTAGGTCAAAGTTACGTAATCGCAACGTATGCTATCGCTATGTCTTTATGTGTTATATAATAAAAAAAAAAATAATCCGTTATTCTTAGCTGAACTTTACGGTAAAGTAGAGAGTAATTATGACGAATTAACTTAATAGGCTTAAGAACTCACGGCAACAATTCGGTTCCAATTCGCATATTATACTTGAATCAGTGCAATTCAATGCTGTACAACGATCATCACAATAACGGGAATGTCTTGAGCCTATATATAATTTTGATATGCCGTCGACAAGAGCAAATGTTGGCATTAGGTACATAACGTATATAAAAAGTAAAGAGGTTTCCAATACGTCCCAGGCAAAGATGTAAGCGCAAATACCTAAAGCAAGACAAAATATATTTATATATAATAATATAATGTATTATGTAAAGATGGGGAAAAACATTTTTCACATGAAATGTATAGATATATGTATTTTTTATTCTTGTAATGAATACTATACGTCACAAAGCCTAGCCGAAATAAATTGTTTACACCAATTTAAAATGTCGAAATACCGTTACACGACGAGTTTTTTCGAGAACTTTTGAAAATTTGCAAGTCATTATGTAAGGAGTGTTCGAGAAAGTAGATCGATTCGAAGCATTTTCAATAGCGTTTACTGCGGTGCACCAAATCTTATCAATATATCTCAAAAAATGCAACCTGCAGGTTAAATATAGATTTACGTGACAGACGGACAGACGGACTGACTAACTCAGAAAATTATTTCCGAATCGAACCATATAATAAAAAAGGTGGACATGTCTTCAAGCCTAGTGAGTTTGACATACATTCGCACAAATTTATATTTTAAAAAATAATTTTTAATTTACCCTAACTCATAGGACTAGGACTGTGTGAACGCTTGGTATAAAAATGGTTGTGATCAGCCTACTGCCTCGTTCGTTTGATGATAAGTTGTTTGTTTAAATGCATTGTCTATAATTAGGAACCAATTCATTTATTGTATTATAACAAAGATTATTCCAAATGCGAATGAAAATGAAAAGAAGGAAATTACGATATCTATATAAGTGAACGAAAATGTAACATTTTGGAGTAGTATTTACTTTATCTTTACTAAAGAATACATTTTTGGGACAAATATGAAATTCATTTCTTAATCTTGATCTTAAAAGCAGACCAGAACCGAAGCATCGATTGAGTGACTTCATACAAACAAAAAGGCGATAAAATTGTCCACAATCCCTTCAACCGGGATAGTAAACTATGTGAATTTGTGATTTAATTTTGTTAAGCTTTAGGCAGCGCAAGCAAATACTTTACACGATGATTTACTTGCATAGACTATGATTAGTTAAGAGTGTCAAGAACAAGATACCTTCTCAAATCCTAAAGCATAAGGAAAGCAGAATGAAGTAGAAACGTTCAGTATACAATGGCGAAATGATGTAAGTAACCTGGCACAAATCTCTATTGACAACGCTTTAGTTCTTTCGCGTAATTTTAACAAAGCTTTTGCACTACGTAATTTCAGCACATATAGCAGATAAGGAAATCAAATATCTAACACGTTAGCATCATTTTGAAATACTAGACAGATTTTTGCTTGAACGTTTTCATTCTCAGATCGAAATATTTTGTTTTTTTCTAGCTTTTCTTACTTTCTTAGCAATGTAAGCGGAACCGAATAGATTAGGCATAGTTCTATAGTTGAATTGTCAGTATAATTTTTAGATATTAAGAATGAAGCGACATGTACCCTTAATAGGCGCAAAACGCTCAGACCGCAAATCAAATTTGAAAGTTTGATCGGCCCATAGACAATAGACAGCACAATACAACCTGTAATCCACTCAAACTTAATATAAAAGTTTAAATAAATATTTAACAGAATCGAAGTAAGAATGAACTTGATCCAATACCCATATAAATGGTATTGAACTCAAACTTGGCATCGTCTACAACTTCTTGTAAATAAAAAAAATTGACTATTTATATATTATTATTTCTGGCGTTGGGTATTAAAATCTCGAGCACTCAATATAAGTCTGTGTTTTTTTTTTTTTACTATTCCTTTTTTTCGCCATTGACTCATAAAAAATGCTAAAGACTCACCCACCCTAAAGTAAATGTAAGTCGTTCCCAAATTAAGTAAAATATTGTTGCAAATCGTGTACATGTCTGTGCATATTTCTTATATCACATATACATATATATATATATATATATATATGAGTTTGTTTTCTCACCGAGCATCAATTGCAGTATCACGGCCAATAAAAAGGCTCGCAACTTCGACTTTGGCATAAACATACTCAAAAAATACATCATGGCGAGAGTAGCAATACCGTGTAGACTTATTAGAAGAAGAACCACTGAAATTTCATTATTAAAATTATTATCATAAATCATCATGGATGTCTTAAAAGAAAATCATTAGCTTACATAATTTTGTAAAAATATTGAAACCCTCAATAGTGGTAAGCGCCATCACTAATATGTATACAATGGAAAATCCTAAAAATATACCAATATCCCAAGCCATCCCGACCATCCAATATATATGCAAGTCAATGCCAGCAATAAGCTGCAACGTCAATAAATAGTTTCGTCGCTCTTCTACCAATGATATTACAAAACAAGACATTGTTATCGGCATTATAATACCCATGATAATGGCGAGATGTAAATGAAATATCTGATTATCGACTAAATTAGTTTGCTGAAAATATGATATTCTAATAGGTTGATTTATGATCGCAGTTAACCTATTTGGATTATCCGGAAACAAATTTCTGAAAAGAGAATTAAATTAAACTTTATTAAGACTTATGCCTGAAATTGTTTTGAAATTGTTATCAAATGCAACGATTGGTTTATATAGGCGAGTGTCTCAAAAGTCAACTGATATGATGCAAAATTTTGCTCAAAAAATTGCTCTATCTAATCCAAATTTTTTTTGCATCAATTTTGCCGAGAAATTTTGAAAATTGCAATCTTTTTTTCACATAACGACTTCTTGAGAAAAAAAAGTGTTATATGGGATGTGGTAGCAAAATTAGATCCGATCTACCGCATTTTCCGCTTCATTGTTGGACCAAAAGATATTTACATAACAAATCTCATCAAATTATGTCGGAAATTGTAAACTATGCATGGAATATGCAAGGAGAGACATTAGACGAACAGGCGGACACTTGTCGTGCAAGAATATATTGAGTTTGCTCGGTGGGTGTAATAGGCCCAACTTTTATTATACTGATTCGCTCACAATCAATTTCTGAATCGATTTAAGCTTGTCAGTCCGTCTGTCTCTCTGCCTCTCTATATTGTTTCTCTTTGTTCAACCTGCAAACCGACAAATGCTATTGAAAAGTATTCAGATCGATCCGTATTTTCGATCACTTCCCACATAACGCCTCATTTTGAAAAATCGTTATATGAATACTTGTAGAATGGTATAGGATATTTAATGGCAAGCTATGATCCGCTATAGCGTTTTTTATTTGTTTTATTTAGAATTAGTTTACCTCAGTATTATGTTATGAGCCAAATTTAAGACCATTGGTGCCGTATGAAAAGTGAGATCATTAATCCATATAGAAAAATTTTTATTGGGTGTTTTTAATTCAACTGCGCCTAGTTTACTTATAGCCGCCGCTCTATCGGTGCGTATGTAATCGGTATATGACATATTGCCGCACGTTAAATTTTCATAAAAGAGATATTGCAAGTGTGACTTTGTAGCTAATAGTTTTTCTTCATTTACACCGTCAATTACGATATAGCTGCAGTCGGTTAGCTCTTTAAATTTATTAGCTGAGATTTCTTCCATACTGATACCCAAGTGTATACCGTTTTCCATAGTTGTCGGGATCTTGACAAGTGAAAACAAGTGATTGGTAAGTAAAATTAAAAACAATAGCCCAAACGTCATAATGACTGGTAGAATATTCAGTGTCTGATGTATCATCTTTTTGTATATCATAGCGCGTATCTGCTGTCGCTTCAAAACATTTTCCGACTCATTGATGAATTTCAATGTTTGAGCTTAAATGCAGGCAAAAACAATCAATGGGAAACTACTAATGAAACTTCGTAATAAAATGATTCCCGTAAACTTACTAATTTCCGGCACTGTCGGTTTAAGTGTACTCTCCATTCCCAGTGTCATAAATACTTCACTTAGCTCACTACTCGAAACTCGTATATTTGTTATACCCAAATTTTTACTTGCATCTTCCAATTGCAAAAGCATGCGCTGATATATGGACCTTTTATCCGTTGGTAGTTTGTATACTAGTAAATCGCCTACTTGATTATCGGGTACAGCATTTGGTACAAATTTATTAATAATATCCGTTATTGGACCACTTGATCGATTTGGATCTTTCAATATAATCTAATTTAAACATGATTTGGAATAAAATAAAAAGAGAAAATCTAGATCGAAATATATGATAATCCATACCAAATCGCAACCTATGCCGAAACGTGTTTTCAAAAAGAAAGGTGATCCGTAGGCCAATAAGACACCGTCGTCTAAAATGCCAATACGATCGGCAAACCATTCTGCCTCGTCTATGGAAGTTGTTGTAACGATAATTGCACGATCATCTTTCTCCTCGCGTAATATTTGCCAAAACATTTGTTGATCTTCGTATTTCAGAAATTGTGTGGGTTCATGTAATAAAACTATAGAAGTATTGCCAAATAATATGCAACATAAAACCAGTAATCGCTTCTCGCCATAACTTAAATTTTTTACACTTTCATTTGGCTTTATTTTACCGGATAGAAGTGTTAACCATTTATTCACCTCTCTCTCAAGTTCTTCGCGATCATATTCACTTTGCTTAATCCTTCCAAAATATCTAAGCGTCGATATTACGCTCAATGAATCAAAAATTGACGATTGCTGCATGCATATATCGATACGGGAACGATAGTCTGTCCAATGCTGATAAATACTCTTATTGCCATTATAATAAATATCACCCAATTCGGGTTTCTGCCAACCCGCCATTAAGCAAAGAAGACTAACTCGTCCGTTCTCTTCGGCGCCCAATATTACCGTGATCTCACCCTTAAAAAACCGCATTGTGACATTTTTCAATATTTGATGTTTAACGCCTCTACGGCGAATTGTTGTAACTACATTTTTAACGAACACCATTTCTTCCCCTCGGAATGGACCAAATTCAAAATTATGCCAAGCAGCACTTGGTCGATCCAGTGTAATAATTCCCATTGGAGGATTTGCTTTTATTGGTTTTCGTCGGCATAATAGCGAATAAAAGAAATTGGTTTGTCCAATATAAAAACCCGGCCGAAAATGATTCAATGTCACCAGTAAGATCATAAGAATGACAATAGTCAATAATTGCGTAAGCAATATAAGATAAAGGATATCATAATTTGGATTCTCTTCTAAGTCGAATTTTTTCATTATGCGCATGCCCAATGGGAAAAAATTATTGCAAAATAAACTTAAACAGAATAAACTAATAAATGTAAAATCCTGTAAACAGTAATAGATTGCGGAAAAGAGACTGTATGCCAGTAGCCAAAGCGTAACACCAAGCAGCACGCAATTCACCGCGTTGTCTAACGTGCAGGCAATAATCATCGCATACAAAATCACGATAATATTATGAAGAATGAGAAATGACAACATCACAATGGGATTCACATTATGGAAAATATATGCCTTGGGATCGTTTGTCCACGGGATCTTTAAATAATGTAAATAAAAAATTATATAAATTGAATATAGTTAATAAAATAAAATTAATTATTATTATTATTATTATTATTATTATTAATTTAGCCAGAGAATAAATTCGAAGACTAAAGCACTTAGAGCACTAGCAACTAAGGCTTTCGGCTTTTATTAAAAACTCTATCGCGTTTGAGATTTGCACCCACCGACCACGAGACTCTTGCCTACACGGCCACTAAGGCAGATGAAAAAAAAAAATAAAAATTAGAAACAAGTAAGAAATTTATATTCGGTCGTGACCGAATCTTTTATACCCATCACACCGATCTTAAAAGGAAGTAAAATGATTAAATTTTCATGCTCTATATAGTATTGAGTGGGTGCCGCCGACTTATTCTATTTTCAAAATTAAAGCGAAAATTGTCTTTGTCTTGCCCCTTGGACTATTAGTATTGATGGATATGATATATGTGTTGTACTTTATGAGTCACAAGCAAAAGACACCGAAAACAAAGATGTTCAGAGTTTTTGTTGCATGTATATGTGGGCGTTATAGGCGTGTCCTTTGATCGGTTTAGGTCGTTTGCAGTTTCTTTTGCAAATTTTGTAGGCGATGTCTTCATTTTTATGAACTGGTGCATATTTTTTACAGATACTGTAAAGTTGCGCAGACGGACAGATGAACAGATGAATGCTTCGATGTATTATCAATTTGACACTAACCAAGAATTTATATACTTTATAAGATTTCTGATGCTTACTTCCGTGCGTTATAAAGATTTTGAAAAAAAAATAAAATAATAATTAAATTTTGACACATTATCAAATTGAGTAGGCGAGGCCCTTTTTTTTTGCATTTTTATACTGCAACATCGCCCATAGAACACACATTCAAGTTTTTGTAGACCCATCTGCTGTAGTTTATGAGTAATAAGCAAATAAGAAATATTGTTTGAAAAAAAAGGTGTTCTGAGTGAACGTGGTACGTGGAAGGCGTGTCCTTCGACAAGAACTTCCAATGTTTCTGCCGAATTTGATGTCGATAGCTTAATTTTTGCCGTCGGGAGAGTGTTTACAACATACGTTACACAGCCGGATGGACGGACGGATGGAAAGACATGCTTAAAACGATTTAGAATTTGATGCTGATCAAGAATATATATACTTTATGGGTTATCTGAAGCTTCCTTCTGGGCGTTGCAAATGTTTTGACAAAATGAATATACCCGTCATCTTTCGTTGATGGGTATAAAAATACTTAGAAAATTAATCGTATTCGATGTGTTCACCGCGTAACGCTAAAACTTTACATTATTTTATAACAGTTTGATAAAAACAAAAAAAAAACAAGGAAAAATCGTGTAATTTCTTTGAAATGGGGAGAAATAAGTAGTAAGTGAAATTTGAAAATTGTTCGTCTTTCATACTCTTTTTGATCATCCATTTATTGCTCTATGCTTAATGACAGAGGCAAAGAAAGAATGAAAGAGAGAGAGAAAAAGACAAAGAGAGAAAAAGAAAGAGTGATGAAGTTATATGAATAAAAGAAAAATATAAGAGAGAAGCTTGTATTGTTAGTTTTTAATACAAAACCCGACTAGGGTGAACTTCCGCTTTGCTTGGAGTTAGACATAGTCATAAAATGAGATTCATATCAATGTAAAATTCTATGCGTGTTAATCGAAAATACGAGAGCATATTACGCATATGATGGAAAATGCGAGTATATAACCTAAGATTTCTATTCTGTGCTTCTTTTCTTCTATCTTTCAAGGAATTTAAGGCGATTGAGACGATAAGTATGCATATAAGAAAAAATTCCATCTAATATACTTACAATAAAAACGACCATTATTAGCAGGTCTAATATTAGAAAATGAACAAATGATACGAGAAAATGAGCAACCCAAAGTTGACCGTATGTGTAACCATATATCCAATGATGAGCTAACACATCTTCTTCACGTTCACGTGCGTAAATCTGCAAAAGAAGAGAATATTTTCGATTATGCAAATCATGTCTTAAAGTAAACTAAAGTCCATATCCTATTTAGCGAGCAAAATTTTATTACATTTCATAAAGGACTCTTCTTAATAACTCTTTAGATTGTCAAAAATTCCTTTCCAAACAGTGACGCATACCATTTCGCATTAGTAGCCGAGTAGGCAAAGTATCGCGAATTACAACTCAATGGTCGCGGATCGCAGGCGAACATGTGATCCAAGTTATCCGGCAACCATTAAATTCTATACGTTGTCAATTCTCTCTATCTTGTTCTCCTCATCTCTATCGCTATTTCTATCTATCGCTATCTCTGTCACATGCTATGCTTAATGCTATGAATCATTAAGCCAACCAACCATGCAAACTGATCGTCTAATGTGTAAGCTTATAAGAGAATGTGTGTAACTTATAAGAGAAGAAAAGTGAAAAATGAATTGAAATGTAAGATTGAAAAAGAAAACTAAAAAAGTTAATTCCCGATTATAAGTCCCACGTAAATATGAATCAGAGATCTTCATTCTCCCTGAATCTATAACTTATGGATTTTATGTTTAGTACAAACCCAAATCAAATGAAGGAACGGTATAAAGAACAGAGTGTTGAATAATAGCCAATTTAGGTTTGCGGCTCCTTCCGTGAAACACAATCTAGCGTCGCTTCTATAACGCATAGAATTCACTTGTATATGAGGGATCAAGGGTATTTCCTCATTTTGTATTTGTCTTAGATCTTGTTCTCGTGTTAACAAGGGATCACTCAGCCTAGAGTTCATTATTAACGCGGCTTCTTTAAAATTATCATCATCATTAGGATGGAAATTTTTTAAGACAACATTCTCCTCAAGCCCATCCTCATTAAAGGCAAACGTATTAAGTTTATCGGTTTCCGTAAATTTTTCCTCCATCTCTTTGCCACTTTCTTCTAACGCAATGCTAGCATTGTTCGTCTGTTGATTGCTATTCGATTCTGCATTGATATTAAATTTTTCATCAGCAGACATATCTTTAAGTTGTTCGACTGTTTCTTTTTCTTTATTTCGACCTCTATTAATGTTTGTTGTATCAGAATTCTTCAGAAGCTTGATCCACTGAATGTATAAGCTATGTTGCAGTTGTAGAAAACCTTCGCGCAGATATAAGTCCACGTTTCCATAAATACCAGTGCCGTCAGAGGATATTATTCCCGCGCAACGTGTCATCCACAAACGTTCATCTATACTATTTGAAATATCAACGGTTCGTAATAGACCAGGGAAACGCAACGACACCACTAATTTTTCAGGGACTGCACCGTCATCGACATTATGAAATACTATGCCAGCAAGAGTGTTCTGCTCACTAAAATACTTTTCCAAAATATCGTTATTTTCCACATCCTGTATGCCGCGCAAATTTAATGCAATCTTTGCGCCATTAACAACCGCTGTTGTAAAATCATTTTTCGGTGTATATAACAAAGTCATACGCATGCGTTCTTTACGAATGCTCATTAAATGCCTGCAGGAATCAAATTGAACTATAGAAAATTATTAACACTTCTCGCTTGTATGCACTTACATAAATACAGATAAATCGTATAGACCGGGTTGATTATAAGTAACAACGGATTGTAGAATAGTTTCTTTTTCGGACGAATAATATTTTCCCCGTGTAACGGGATTGACGACAATCACAGCCAAAATCGCCGTTATGCTTAAAAACTCAACTATAGACCATTTCCAAAACGCCCTTTCCACATAAAAATTCTTCGATAATAGTAAACAGAACGTTGACGGCATTTTATATACGTGTTAACAATTTTTCTTCAAAACACTGAGTTATTCAAAAATTACCAAAACAAGATCAAAATCGAAATATCAAAACATCAAAATCTAGATTATGTTATTTGTTTGCCAGAAAAATTGTTTTTTTCTTTTTTTTTTTTATTTCTTTTCAAAAAAAAAGAAAAAAATTAATTAAATACATTTCAAGAAATAACTAAAACTCTAATACAAAATATTTATGTATTACGGCTAGGGATTCCAACCAATTAAAATTTTACTTTTCCAATGAATAGAATGAACTATGAAATAAGTCTTGCTTGGGATAACTATCATGTCATGAAAAAAAATCAATAAATAAATGGCCAAACCTCGTGTAAGAATATTGCGATTACAATACACATGGAGATGCTGGTAATATCGGCGAATATTGACTAAAGCATTCGTCGTCATCAGCCGTCTCTCGACTTAGATTGCGATTTCAATATCCAGGACTTAACATTATGTTGTGCGTAAAGATATCTATCTATTTATGTTCGTGATGACGGATCAAATATGGATGGATGGATAGATGGGGAATAAAGCCGGCTCACACATTTTACTCATAAACCAGTGCAAATTCCTACCAGCTCATCAATTGCCAACTGGTGGCCACGACGACAATTTTTAGGCTAATCTCTGAGTGCTACGAGTAGCTAGAAGCAAAGCAAGCAAATCGAGGGAAGTGCGGTAAACATATGCGCTTAGTTATATTTAACCCTTTTCTCGCAATTGGCTCAAAAATACAGCTCGCCCCAAAGGTCCAATTGAGACTGCTTGCTCTCCCAATAAAAACACCGCGGCCTTCCTGCCTCTCTTCTACCCAAGCACTGTACCACAAGCTATCATCATAGGGGACTGCTAGTTCGACCAATACTTCGGAGTTAGATTCCTAGCAGGAGCAAATCATCTAAGCGCTTTCTACAATAATCTGTTTCATTTTCGTAATAAAGCGACTGAAACACATAGCTAGCGTTTTCTTTAGCCACCTTGGAAATCTTACTTGGACTAATGAGAGAAACTGAAATATATTAATTACGAAGAATTAGACAGAGGCAGTGGCAGGAAAAGTATAATTTTTCACAATCTGCCATCAACGTACCGTAATATATGTGAGACCTTGGCACCCCTATGCATAGACATCACAAGGGAGATATTGTCGATGTAAATGATCCTACCGCAATGCAATAAAATAAAGAAAATTTGTTAAGAATACGACCTATCGTTATGTAATTGTCTTTCTCTTGCCCCTCTTAAACGATTAGTATTGATGGATTGGCATAACAGCAAATATGCCTATAACGGTTCAAATTTTAATACAAACATGATTTTCGAGCTTAAAATAATTTGGACTGATTTCGCAGATATTCCAACGGAGAGAATATCTGGCTTTCACCCCTAGGGGCCGGCCTCGACCCTTGATATGGTAACTTGATTCCAATGCATTAGTAAAACTTATTCAATTTAGTCATCACTTTTAATTTGTTTTTTTTGTGTTTTTTTTTTTTTTTTTTTTTGATAAAACTTAACCGTTTTTCGTGTCGACGTTATAGGCGTGTCCTTGGAAAAGTTAACTTCGACTTCCAAAGCCGCCAGTTTTCCTAAATGAGATTAGCTGCAATGGCTGCATGAATCCGTCAAAGAACTACTTTCTTATAAAACTTGGCCAATACAAATTCAACTATGACCTTTTTATTCCACTTACGATCTTTCGTAAAAATTTAAATGATGTTTACCGTCTTATCTCTTTTGCGAATCCTATAGCTATGCCGCTAAAGTTACCCTTTGTGGCTTGTTTGCCCTAAAAGAACTTTCTTCTTAATTGATTAATTCGGTTATGGAGGCGCTGGTGCTATGCTGGTATTCATTGAAAAATCTAATATTTGTTAAACTTACTCGTTAATTGCATAAGATTAAGATTCATTTTGTTTATCGCCGATCTTAATTTGATTAGGTCTTTAATATTAACGCATAGTCCAAGTTCAGCTGAGTCCAAACTGTAGCTGAATTATTTATGTGCGATGTAGTGAATAAATAAATAAATGGATAAATTATTTATTCTTCAATTCGGTCAACAAATGTATTTCCTTAGCATAAGCGCGACCACCTCTTGGTTTAAGGGTCGTGTCATTTTTCTATGTTTTTTAAAAAAAAAAAAATCTGAAATCTATTCTTGTACCCAGCATAATAAATATATTACAACCGACATAACTGCATCTGATCAAATGTCCATCTGATTGTCTTATCGACCGTCTCTCTGTCGAGCGAAATCATAAACTTGATCATAAGGCTTTTGCGTAGAGGAAACCTTTTTCTGTCAACTTTTTCCTTTTTTACAAATGCAAAAACAACTAAGAACACTACTGCGTGCCAAGGCCAATTATGAGATATCTTACACCATTTCGTCTAGAATAATTCTTTATTTATTTTCGTGACGAAATACCAAATATTTATAACCTCCGTACGTTTCTTGAAAGCTGGAACTTTTCATGAGAGCCCTTATATAACGTGACGTCTAAAAGGTACACCCACTTGGCTTATATTCAGTACATTTTTGTCTTACGTCGCTTAACTATTATGGACAGATTTTCATTGTGAAATTTCAACATTGGACCTTTTTGTCGTGTGAGAATTCAGTTCTTGTAGGAACGGTCAGGGAGCTCAATAAATCGCGCCATCCAATTCACATCTTTTAAAGTCATTTAATATATCGAAAAACGTTGATAATTGCAATTATGATGCGTACTCGCAGAAGTGACTCAGTCCAATTCATTTTTCAGTCAAATTTCCCGGAAATATTTCATAAATTATAGATTTATAGGTTTGAACACAAAATCACATGGGCACGCAGTCGACGGATAAGGAAGCAGACGTATAGACAAATCTAAATGGATTTCAAATGTGACTCTGATTCGACCAGAATATCATTGTGAACAGATCAGTGTGTCTACCTACCTTAAAATCAACCAGGGTATTACGTTCATCTGCATAAAGTAAGTAAACCCTACACCATAGATGGATCGATTGCGTAGAATGATTTGTTCGACTTGCTTCCAATATTCCTATTTTGATACCTAATATTGTGTGCAGCGTAAAGATATAAGCAAATTAATATATATACAAGGATGTAAAATTGCTTTATTTGAATTTAATCTCAAGTAAATATTGCCTAAAATGTTATGTAAAAAATAATAAAATAAGAAAAAAAAACGTTTGTAAAAAAACATAATTAAGACGTATTTTATGTCGATTTTGAAAATTTCCTTTTTTCCAAACGTGCTTTTAATATGTTCTCCATACCATTGGTCAGACTTCCGTGACATACGGAATATTCAGATATATTCAGACGACGTCGATTTTTCTCCAACGATCCAAATAGATACGAATAACTGACATCCTCGACGGGCACATAGTATATTAATACATTACTATTGACTTTTCTATAAAATGTAAAGATATTTTTTTCAAATTTTAAAAATATTTCGAATAAACTTAATTCGAATGATTTTTATATGTCTTTTTTGATTAATCGAAAATTTTAATGCAAATAAATTTGAAATTCTTTAAAAAAAATTAAGAAAGCGAAAAATTATCACGCCTTCATCGACGAAGTTAATTTGTATTTAACGTATCACCAAATATACTTACATCAGTTCCGAACTGCTATGAAGAAATGATATGAAACGAGAAACGTTTTCCAAATCTATTTTCAAACTTCAAAACGTCGAGAGAGAGAGAGAGAGAGAGAGAGAGAAAATAAATGTAAAAAGCAATGAACATGAAGTAGTAAGGGAACATAAGCGAATAAATTTTACTCACTTCTTGTCAGTTTCCTCATCCGTGGAGCCATCCAATCGAAGTTTAATATCTAAATAGAAACCTACGGTAAATTTCTGCCGTAAATAATGAGCACTTCCTATAGCTAACATTACGCCGTCATCCACGACTAAAACGGTATCGGCCAATACGTCACATTCATGACTATCTGTGGTAGCAAATATTATCGAGTTACCGCAATAACGTAAATAACGCAATACATTCCATATAAGGCGTTTTTCAATTGCTGGCAGGCCCCTTGTCGGTTCGTCTAAAATCAATACATTACTGTTCGCCATAAAAGCAATAGCGATGCTCACACGACGTCTTATTGAACGGGGCAATTGTCCAATTTTTTTATTAATAAGTCCTTGTAAGCATAACGAGATCGAAATTTCTCGAATCTTTTCCGTTATAACTTTCTGAGGTAGACCGCGTATTCGAAATAATAGCGTTAAAAGTTGACGTGGCGTAAAGGCGCTTATCAAACCCTTACTCTCAGGACAATAGCCCATATGCACATACGCATCCTTAATCTTACGTTTAGTATTCACTTTACATATATATATTTCACCATAGAAAAATCGCTTTTCGCCTACCAACTGTTTGATTATATGAGTCTTGCCGGAATTACGTGATCCGTAAATGGCAAA